AGCAAGATCAGTTCCGATAATACAAGTAGTATACAACTTTTTTTTTTTTTTTTGAAGAACAAGTAGTATACAACTAATTACTCTATTAATATACTACAACCATCACGATCAGTGGCGGATCTACATAGTAACAAGGGGTAGCAGAAATTTGTATACAAATTTTTAAACTGCAAACTTGAACTAAATGCCAACCATTGTTGCAGTGGTAAAAGTAAATTTGCTGAAAGTTGGTAGGACGGCAATGTCATCAGGGGTTCGAACTCCACTTCTTTATTTTTTTCATTGTCTTTTTTCCTTTCTAAGCACTTTAAGTCTTTAACCTATCCTTAGTCTTTGTTCCAAATCGATTTCCCCTTGAACTTTATTTATTTTTACTATGTAAAGGTATAAGAAAAGCATTAATAAGATTAAAAGTAATTTAATTTCTCCATTACTCTTATCCATATTGGTTTTTTTTTTTTTTTTTTAAATTTTCACAAATTATTTACGATGTATATATGGAGTATTTTATTAACTATAATGATAAATTAGATACGAATTGTCCTGTAAGAAAAAAATGTACAAAATTACTAGTATTAATTTAAAAAAAATTAAATAATTTGATACTTCATACCATTATGCATTTTTTTTTTAATAATTTTTTTATTGTAATTATTTTTGATAAGTAGTATAATATATCTTAGTAATTGTTTTTTGAACAAGTACTCAGCCAAATGTATGCGTGTCCAAAATCACATTGTCAATTAATAAGGAGCACACCAATGTACTAACACATTGCATTGCATTAAAAAAAATCAATCGGTTTATTATTTTGCTAATCGGTTTTGGGGGAATTTTTCAATATGAACAATCCCTTAAGTAAAGTCCGGTTTTAATTTCAATTTTAAATTTTCTTAAACTACTACGCGCTACCCTTGATTGGAAATCCTGGATCCGCCACTGATCACGATATCAAGTATTATTTTTTAGTAATTTTTTATAATATATGTACTACATATTATGTTAAAGGTAAAGACCTAAGTTTGAACATGAGGAAATATTTTCCAAATTAAATCAATCATGAGTCAAATTTGAAAGAATTATGGGATTGATCATTAATGGACCACCGACCACCACCCTCCACCACAAAGAGTAAGGACAACACAAACCGTACTTGACAATAACGGAAGAATGGTTACCCAATACTACCAATTTCAAGGCTTGCTATTTGATGAATGTACCGTGTGTATTAGTGGTCCCTTTGGCTTTGCTTAATTCGGATTCTAACTAAATTTTAGTGGGTGTGGAAATTTCTAGTCTTTTTTTTTTTTTTTTTAGAAAATACATATATTAGTCAACATATTATGGAAATTTAAATTTCATTTATAATCACATCATTAATAATATAGGGTATTTGGGATAAGGTAAGTAGAATTTTTTTTATGCTCATAATAATTCTATTATTATAAAAAATGTTGTCTAGCTTATTATTGCTTTCATTTTTAGGGGATATTGTTTGTATTATTTGTACATGTCTACGTAAAATTTTATTTCATAAACCAAACAATTGCAAGAAAAACTCTATATAGAATATGGAGTAGTTCATATGATGAGTATATATAGGACGTTTAAACTTATGGAATCCTTAAGTGTTTGTTTAAGTACATGTAGAAAGTTTTATTTTTAATGAAATTGTCAATTTCATGATTTTGGTTGATCATCGAAAACTCAACTTTTTGTGGAAAATTATACTTACTTCGTACATAAATTGGAATAAGACTTTGTTCTCTTCACCATAAGATAATAATATTAAGTAAATATAATTTCGGTTCAGTAATAATAAATTCAGTTCATTATAATAAGTTTTAATCAGTAAAAATTAGTAAATTCAAAGAAAAAATATACTTGTCAAAAAAAAAAGAACAAATATAAAAGAGAACGCGAATCAGTAAAATTAATTTAAGCTCTGTAAAAATAATTTAAGTTTAGTAAAAAAATCAATTGATCAGTATAATAAATAAAAATAGTTCCAGTTTAACAGAATTACGGTGAAGAGAACAAGACATTATTGAATAAATTTTCATTATAAATACACCGCAACTTCCTATGCTTCAATCAATCAAATAAAATTTCACTTTATCATTCTGCAGACCAAATGACAATTAGGACGTTGGTCACATTGATCTCAAACAAAGCCCAACAGTATGGTGCAATAAAATTACAGTATAATAATTTTTTCTTCATCCCCTTGTTAAGTAGTCAAATTAAAATCTTCTTTTATATATACTTTTGTTACTTTATCGACCTTTTAATTTACACATCTTATACGTTTTTCCACGTAAACCAAATTACAATTTGTTACTTAGTAATTTAAAAACGAGTGAAGATTACTTGTACTATATTGTTATGCAAAGAGAAGAAATGAAAATGAGAGATAGAAATGTCAAAATTTGAGGGTTTTGGGGACCAAAGGAATCAAAACCCAATGAGTACAACTACTATACCCATCAAAAGAGTGACCACGTTCGAGAAAAAGAATGTGAAAAAAGGGCCCAAATGACCAGACAAGAGGTCCTTTGTCCCATCTCGATCTTCTTCACTATTACTAGTTTGGTGGCCAAGCTGAGCACTAGATGCTCATATACTCGATTACTTGTGTATACTTATATGTGCACATATGGTTGGTTGGACTCCGGCGGTGGATGGACGATAAATTCTTGAATTTTTTATCTCGCTTTGAAGTAATTCAAACAATAATTTACGAAAGGTACGCGTATGATTAACCATTAAACGAGCACAACTAAGTTTAAATGGTTGTTTTTAAAGTTGTAATTCTTGTAAAATCATGTATAGAGGATAACGCCCGCCTAACTAGTAGTATACGTTCAAAAAAAACTGATGATCAAAGTTCGCGATGAAGGTTGTAACTTTGATTCCAAAATAGTGAAATTATTCTTTAAAAAAATAATCAGGAATTTGAATTATTTATGAAAAATCTAATAACCCTATGTTCTTCTCCCCACCGGATTGATCCAATTGTAAAAGGCTAATTGTTTGTAACTATAATGCTTGTATGAACTAGTATTAGACTTTGAAACCTAAAGTTAACATACATTAGTTTAGTAGTTTGGAGAGCCTTTAATTTGCTTAAAGGATATGAGAATGGTGATTTTTTATTTTAAAAAAAACTTATTTTTTGTGGAGTAGTAATTCATTTGCATGACATTCATTGTTTAAGTACCGCGTTTGACTTAAACATATAATTGGAAAGATTATAAAGGATATAGCAAACACACTTTTATTTCAGAGTTGACCTAAAAATATGATTGGAAAGATCATAAAGCATAGAACAAATAAACTTTGGCTTGCAACTTTAAATTCCGCTTAGATATATCTCCACTTTGAATATTTCAAATTTACATATTTATTTCGCGCTAGAATACATAACCTTGATATTTCTAACCTTTATGGTAAAATGATTACATGCTTGGAATGCACTAACTCTTCAAAGAAATGAGAGGTCTCTTTAAATTACCTAGGTCACTATCATAAGCAAAGACATTCAAATCAAGACTAATAGTCCACAAGGAGATATCATATCTTTAATAATGTCTTGTTGTACTAATTATGAATTCGGTTAGATATGAGCAATAGAAACTACAAATTGTGGTTGGATATGAGCAATAGAAACTACAAATTGTGGTTGGATATGAGCAATAGAAACTACAAATTGTGGTTGGATATGAGCAATAAAAACTACAAATTGTCAAAATACTAGTGACAAAATTCTATTAAAATCAATACAATTCAAAATATGCAATGTATCTTGATGAGACGATTGTCCTTAATTAGAGTTCTCAAGCACTCTCAAGGCATTCACATAACCAAAAACTCACATTTTTAAACTAAAGAATGTCAAGGATTCTATCTCTCAAGAAACAACTTGTTGAGTAAGACTGATCATGAAATTAATAGTGTAAAAATTATAATAATAATAAAAAAAAATGTCACCTCTTAACATTATAAATCATAGATAAGACTCAATTGAAAATTAGGGAAAATCAATTCACTTTCCCTAGACTTGTATAATTAATTAAGCTTACTTATTCTAAACTAAATTTCATAATTAAGATAAGATCAACAGACAAAGTTACTATCAATTAATAGAGAAAAATATGTTACAGAAAAAAGAAATATGACAGAGAGAAAACAACATTAAAAACACATACAAAGTACTCTGTAATATTTTGTTGTTACAATTGCTAAGGACTAAGGTTATATATATGATAAACTTTTAGGTTATAAATATTTAAAAATAACTTTAAGTTAACGTAAGCAATTAAGTACTATCTTTGAAGTGGGCTAACCTTTTTATTGAAATGAGGTTTTTATAAAGCCGATGCTTTCTACCAAGCCAAGACGTGACACTCAAACCTTCGGATTTTCGCATTGGTTCACTACAACAATGGGTGGTTAGGAACATTAAACAGCATGTTCGTAATGATATGTCGCTTGAGATTTGGCCAACATACTTTGCAATTGTTGTATGGTGGTTAGGATTGCGTTGAACTCAGATCATACGGTGCTGCCATAAGAGCTGGTGTTCGAGACTGCATAGGGAAGTTTATTTACGCTTACTCTCTTAATATTGGTGCATGTTTCACTTTTAAAATTGAGGTTTTATTAGTACGGTATGGTCTTGAGCTAGCAAAACGAATGGGTATATAAAAGTTGCATGCGCAAATTGATAACCAGGCTTTATTAAGTTCAAATTCTTATGGAGGGGGAATGTGTACATGATATAACTTACTCTAGGGAATTAATCGCAAATCAAAGCTGACAAATAGAAGTTATACATATTTATCGAGAAGGTAATTGAGCTGCCGATTGGTTGGCCAATCAAAGAGTAATTCTAAACAACAAAACCGAGTTGATTCAAACCCCCCTAGCTTTAGGTAGTGTTTTAAATAATGATCTTTGTAGTCTTGTAGTTGCGACTACGTCACATTTTATTCATCTAAAGTATTATATATTTTTTTTATAAATAAAAAAACGAAAGCCCAATATCTTCCAACTCTTTCTCAGCACAAAAAGAAGCAGAAAACAAACAGAGTTCCCACAAACAACTATTCTGTACGAAATACTTCGTATATTATTAATGGAAGACTAATCTTTGAACTCATCTTGCTTTGACTAAGATCAATCAATGGCGATGAACTCATGGAAGCAGAAAGAATTTGGATTCATCATAATTTATGCAATTTGTTTCTACATCTTCATCATCAACCGCTCTCTTAAAATTTCCCACGGTTCCCTCTCTTCACATGTTCAAATTGCTCTTAAATTCCTGTTTTACCCTAATTTTTAGGCGCTAAAATTCACCAATTTTTTGTGGGTTTTGTTTTTGCAGATCACTATCAACAGCTTTGGGGTCTTCGACCTGGATGGCTTGCGAATCGACTCAATGTAAGTAATTTAAGAATTTCCCTTAAATTTATTATTCCAATTTTGAATTAGGTTATTTGTGTAATGTGATTGGCAAAGATTTGAACTTATGAGTGATTGATCAAGAAAAATTAGGTTAGAAGTGAACTTTTGTGATGTTATTTTGAACACATTAATTCGCTTTTGAACTCTTTATGTAGCATTGATTGTGGTTTCAGAAGGGTGGTATGTTATATTGCTGATTAAGTATCATTTCCACTAGCTCATCGACGAAAGGGGTTATCTAGATTTTTGAATTTGAAGCTCGTGAAATCGAGTTTCCAAGTGTAGATTTCTATGCATTTTGCTGAAATGAAATGTATTGTACGAGTAACAGTCATATACTCATAAGCTGTATTGCTGTGAGATTTTACAGTTTGTTTGGGTAATGTTAAGGGAAGGAAAAGAAGGGGAGGGAGGTGAAGGGGAGGGAAGGGAAAGCCGAAAGGAAGGGGAAGGAAGAATGATGGATTTTCCTTCCAAATCTCTCCATTGTTGGAGGGATTATTTTCTTAGAATTTAATCCCTCCATTTCTCTCCCCTCCAATTCCCTTCATCCCTAATTTGTTATCCAAATGAAAGATATTCCCTCCACCCATTTCCCTTACCTTCCTTTCCCTACATTTCCTTCAATCCAAACACACTCTTAACGAGAAAAGCAAAGATAACGAGTAAATGAAGAGCTTGGGTTTAGGGAATAGGAATTGAAACTATTTCGTATACTGTTGTGAAATGCATATTTGATATCAAATGTGTCCATTAGCAGTTGCTGTTTGTGCTATGAAGCTGTTGAATTAAATAATTTTGTTTTCCCTCACTCCAATATATTAATGTATCTTTTATGTCATATTGTTAGGATGTTTCGGATGGCCAATGGAGAAACTTCCGTGGAAACATTCCAATTCTTTCGGCTGTTTTTGGTGCGTTCACCGTTTTAGCCACAAGTTTGCAGAAAACCTGCCAGCTAAGAGCTAATGGGATGTCTATAGTCTGGCTTATGGTATCTTTGATTTACTTAATTTATCTACATGGAGCTTGGTATGCCCCTTAGTCTCTGCATCAAAAAGTTCCAATCTGTGATGATGTTGTAATTGTCTCTTTTCATCTGTCTTGCAGTGTCCTTTTCATCCTGTCAATCGCTTCACTCAATTTTCTTCTTGTCAAGGTATGCTCCTAAGTTTATCCAATTCGTTTGGCAGGGTGGACATTTTTGGGAGGGAACCTTTTAAATTTTGAGTGTCAGAAGGATACTATTCTTTTGGACTTGAAAAGTTGAAATTCTCCTACATATTGGTTGAAATGGTTGGATCATGAATTAGATAATATTTTGTGTGCTATTGCTCAGTATTCTTAAGGTATATTAAGGGAGTATGGGCTCTTGCTCAGCATTCCTCAAGTAATTCAGTAAATTTTGCTGGAGAACATGGATCATATGAAGAAATTCGTAGATTGTTATACAATCGTAGCGTCATCTTATAGCTGATCACACAACACCTTTGTTTTGTTTTGTTTTGTTTTTTTTTTTTTTTTTTAGCCAAGGGATCTATGTAGGTGTCTCAACCAAGGTAATTGACTGGCTACAAGGGTCTATTCTCTATGCTGTAAAAATCTTATCAGTATAAATCTTTGTCAAATAGGATGGAAATTACTGATAGTATAAGATTGCACTCGTGTCTTTATGTTTTTTTATAAAATTTCTTTCAATCTTTGATGTTTTCATTTGAAAACTATCCTACTCTTAGTTCTGTCTTTTAATTCCATTTCACTGTGTGAAAATTCTAACATGCATCCTGTTACACCTATTATTTACTCGTTTGAAAATCTCATAGGAAATAAGCAACAATTACCCTTTAGTTCACCTAGCTCTAGACATAATAATGCATCTTATTTCTGTAAGATAAACAATATTATATGCCTTTTCTTTCACTTATTGATGATTAAAGATGTTAATGGTTGATGATATGCATTAGCAAGTGTGAAAATAGAAAAATTGCCAAAAAAAAGGGGAGGGAAGAATATGTACTGCAGGTTTTAGTGTAAAATCTCATCTTCCTTTTCTTTTGTTTGTCACAGATTTTTGCTAGGACAAAGTACTTCCCGTATGTTTTGTGGACCTTCAATGTGTTTTTCCTAATTTGTAATCGTGTTTATGAAGGATATTCTTTCTCCATCTTGGGGTGAGTTTATTATACAGGCTTCCTTTTCATGTTCCTTGCTCAGGATCACCATGCTGCTAGCTGATTAATAAGCTATGTTTTCTCTTTTTCTATGTAGGCGTCAGTGGGCATATTTGGACAATTTCCGGGGTACATTCAGGTGGCACATTTGCTTTAACTTTGGTATCGTCACTGCCCTGTCTTTTTCATGGTATTGAATACTTTTTTGTCCCAGCCTAGTTTATGTTTAAGATTCTATTTGTATATGTTCTATCCTTTATACTCTCACTCTCTTAGAACTTGTGCGATAGATGTGTTGTTCTGTTTGGAATGTGGGTAAAGCTGGAAAAAGTTGACACTCGGCACTTAGTGGCCATAGCGGGTTTAGGATGGCAATAACCTATTTAATAAATGGGTAGACATAAATGACTAGCAGCACTCATTTAAACAAAAGGTTTAGGTTGAGGATGACATATCCTACTCAAGATAATCTGATTAACCAAATATATATATATATATATATACACACACACACACACACACACACACACATATATATATATATATGTATGTATATATATATATATACATATGTATATATATATATATATACATATATAAGGGTTCTCGATTACTGGTTGAGCCCCCGGGGAAGTATTGAATATATATATATATATATATATATATATAAACATCCCAGAAAATATTTTGGTGGATGTTAAAATTGTAAAAGAAAACATTAATAATTTCAAAGATGGACAAACTATGAATTAACCTATAAAATCTAAAATTTTGATCAACTTGTTATATAAAATTTTCAAAAAAAATTTGAATATTTATCTGACAGTCACCATACTCACCAATCAATATTTTTACTATTGATCTCCTGTGCTGCTTATACTTTCAAAGGGACACTTGTAGCATCCTTTGCGAGGATTTTAACTACAGAGGCACTATTTAGTAGTAGTCCCTTTCATCTTCATGATCAAGTGCCTTTTGAAATACCTTCATATCCGCTTTCTTGGTTGACAAAGAGACCACTGGATAGACAGCACTGCTTAGATTCTGCGATTTCCTTGGAAATATTCTGGTCCAGTACACCGCTTTTCCTGCCGTTCCTTTCCACATTCATGCTCTATATTTTCTCTTGGCTTCATATTGCTCTGGCCGAGGCTCTCCTATGTTGGCCTCTTCGTACTTTCACTGTCAAAATTACCCAGCCTTTGTGCTAAGCCTTTCCATATGGCCGCAGCTGATATACATCTTGTTTGAGCTGTTCCTATCTTTCTGCTAGTAGCATAAGCCTTCTACAATCTGCTTTAGCTCCCCTGCACAGAACAACTTCTCACTCCTGTAGTTTAATATTGCTTCCTTTGTTCCTCAAGTAAGGCTCTGTTCCTTTGAGCTGCTGTGGTCTGTTATGCTAAAATCTGCTCTGCTCTCTCTGAGTATTAATAATCTGCTCTGTTGTGCTGAAATCTGCTTTGCTCTGAAGCTCAAAAGAACAGGGCCTAAGTTAATACCTTCCATTCTGGGATGTCCCATGACTAAGTTGATGTCTATTTTAATTAATTTTTTCTCTACTATCTTATTTTATTATAATTTTCTTAAATTAGGTTGCACACCCACTATATTCTCTACACTTTTGACCCTCCTTGATTTCTGTGCTTAAATAGACATTAACTTATTTGTGAGATGGAGTTAGTAGGCTAGTAGTAATTTAGCGATTTAGACTTAGCTAAAAAGATAGAGCATGTCAAGCTAGATGCCTTTATGGAGGCACCAAATTTTGCACATTCCACCATAGTACCTATCATTTGTACTTTCATAATTATCATTACCCAAGCTCTCTAAGGCTAAGGTCGCACCTCAGATGCTTAGTCAACAAGGGAATCGCATGAGTAGGGTCTAGTAATACCTAGACCTATACCCATACCGCACCTGGGCCTTAAGGTCTAAAATTATAAGACCCTTACCGGGGTGGATGGGTATGGGTAGGGTCTAGGGTCTAATATGGGTTCTTCACCTACATATATTTTTAGCATTTATCATCATTTATATTTTATGTACGTCATGTGCAAAAAGCACTAATACATGACCAACATTCGGTTTGAAATTTTTATAGAATTATAAAAGGAGGGGTTGTAGAGTTGTCACACTGCCTACACATAACATCCTTGTCCTTAGTCATATTACAATTCAAAGTCTCACATAAATACATCGATTTCATATTTTCATCATCAAGATCCAATTAAACTTTGGCAATGTCTGGGTTTGAAGTGTTTGGGTCCATTACAGTGTACTGCTTATGAAGAGTGTTTTAAATTATTGCAAACACTTAAAGTTGAACTTGAAATTATTTTGGTAAAGTTGACATTTGAGGCAATATACTATGTTAAAATGATATCGTGGATTGTTCTTGCTTAATGATGTTAGGCCTTTGTTGGCGATGAAATTTTAATTGAGTTTTGAAAATTGATTTTCCAGAGACTATTTGAGCATGATAAGATTACCTCTTAGACGAATATGGGTTGCTTTATTTGGAGTTTTGGACAAATACTCATTACTTGACATTGTCTTTTAGACCATTTAGGCTGAAGGTCTCACACTGATGAAATGTAATCAATGCTGTGCTATCATGACATTGCACGACTGTATTGAGCTGATTGTGGTGTTAAAAGTATCTGAAGATTGTGTCAGGCTCTTAGCTCTTTGTCTCTTTATTTGCTGGTCTGCACTAATTATATATTTACAAATTACTATCTTTCTTCATCCATCCTTTCGTTTTTGAATTCGTCTATTTGCAGTTGCACTGCGCATGATAAGCTTTGGATGTGATTACCACTGGGCACAAAAAGATTCTCGCTTTGATCAAGAGGTAGTTGTATATCTTGTACTCTAATTAAATGGTGACCTTGGTCTCTCTCTGCACTTTGTGTTTGCGGTCTTGTAGTAGTCTTCCAAGATATATAGATTTTCTTTGCTAAAGCTAGCTGACTAAATCTTTTTTAATACCACTTATCAGTTTAATGGAATATCCTGTTAGTTAAAGTTCTACATGCTATATCAAGGATTTAAACTGGAAAGTGGGTTTTGTTAGGTACAACTATGTGATAGACTAAATGGGGCTGCCATCTAAGTGTAATGGGAAGCAGAGGACAGGAAGGCACTATTGCACAAAACTCATCAATGAAACACTAAGGGGAGGAGTAACAAAAGCCTGCTGGTTTGATACTCTGTGGAATAGTGACAAAGTTAATTAACATTAAGGTTATCTTTGTTATCTAGTGTAGCTTGCTTGATTATATAAGGAGTAATAGTATAGCAGTAGAAGGCATGAGATTTGTATTGTGGAATGAGAGAATGGTAACCTCAAGTTAATAAGAGAGTGATAACCTAAAGTTATCAAAGAGAGTAATAGCCTAAAGCTACTAACCTATCCTTTTGTATCCTTTTAGCCATTATCAATCAAACTTCAACCGTTCATCTTTATTTATTTGCCATGTTAAATCAGAAATACAAAGTCAGATATGCAGTCTATTACAAACTACACAACATAGAAGCTAGCTTATAAGGATTTCAAAATTTATTCTAAACAAAGTCCGTCAAGAAAGATATCTTGATAGCTTCTGGAAATAATCTAACTTTTCGTTGTTAGTTTCCATGTATATCCGTCCTCCAAAGTGCTTTCCCCTTATTATCATCCCATTATTCTGTTTGGTGGTTGCAGTTTGACTCTTGAAATTGTAGATAGTTTATTTCTTCCCAATAATACCTGTGCTACAAAGTTAAATCATTTTGACCGAAAAATATAATAGAGGGTATATAATTTGGATGCTTCAAATCTCCAAGTGATTAAATTAAGTGATAATGTTTAATAATTATCTGCCATTATGCTGATTGTATGCTAAGTCAAAGTCGGAGATAGAATGAATAGATTATGGCCTTTCTTACATGTGAAAAAAATTACATGCATCTAGATGCTGTGAATTATTGGAATATGTATTTGAGACTTCATGGGCATCTTTTTTTGTGTTTTCAGAATATCTCTTATTGATAAATTTTTTATTTTATTTTATTTTTAAGTAATTGATGAATTTCTCCTTTTGACTCCTTGTGGAATCTTTTTTATGAGAGTTAATATTGGCAGTAATGCATAATTTCTAATGACAAGAAAGGTTGGAAATTTACTGTAGACAGTAAGAGGGTGTATCAACCATTTATTAGGTAGAATATGAAATGCCTTCCCAGGCGCCCCAAGATGCATTCATGTTGTCTATTCTTTTTGGTCTTCTTTCATGTCTTTGTTGCTTTTGTCAAAACTAGTACGTCTTCTGTGAGATGAAGCTTGGAGTTTCGAATTGTTTACATGATCTTTGCTTTTAGGTTTTCATTCATATGACCAAATATTTACATTTCTTGCATATGTAGAAGCATATTCAGCGATGCTCAATTTGTAAATCAGGAAGAACATGCTACTTATCCTTACAGGTAACTGTATACCCCTTAGATATGCATTCCCTTCTCCAAACTTTGGAAAAAGTTTAAGAAAATACAGTACATATTGACATACTTGCCTCACATACTTGTAACGATTAATAAAGATGTTGTTTTGCTTGATTTGTTGTAGGAGAGGAGCTTAGAGGAGGACAAATACTCATACATCATATACTTGTGTTACTTGTTATATGCTCCACTTTATATTGCTGGACCTATAATTAGTTTCAATGCATTTGCGTCACAGGTATGTCATTTTTGCATTCTTTGAACTTCTGTACTTTGTAAATTTCTTCTTTCCATCATCGCCTTTTCTATCAGGATCTTTGACTGTAAAGAACTACTTAGTAACTCCTAGTGCTTGTTTGGTTGAAATGGGAATTTCATGGTAAATACTCTCCCTGTTCATAGGAAATTGATTAGACTTTACATTTCATGGGAATTGTGAATGACCAAGGGGGAGTTAGGCAAATAGCTTCCCATTTTTTGTGGAATTCCAAATACCAAGGAAGTTGCAGTTCCTCCATTTTTGTAATTTTAAGCCAACCAAACAAGAAGGGACTCAAGCACTTCCTATAAATTTCCATTACCAATGTCTATTGAGTGCAACCAAACAAGTATTTAGTGTATGTAACATCCTTGATTTCTTGTGTTGCAACTTAGTTAACTGGTCAAAACTGGTTTGGGCTGGTCAATGCTTCATCTGGTCGATTCATTTATCTAAATTTATGATTTATTACGAAGAATAAGTGACAAAAGGCTCAAAACTCTAAGTTTTTTAGATACATCTTCCTGTACAAAGGCTTAATATATAATTCTAGCATAGATATGATCCATACTTTAGATACATCTTCCTGTACATTCAAAAATTAAAATATAGCTCTTCACCCACTTTTAGGTGTTTAGAAATTATTATGAGTGGCTTCTGAATGTTAAGATCTGACTGGCAAGCAGTCCCTTGGTTGATTCAATTATTGATAACTACGAATGGGCGTAAATCATGTTGTGCACATTCCTACTGAAATTTGGTGGCTACATAGAAACGAAAATCACACACTTGTGAGTGTTGTGACAGTCTATGTTTTGATTAGGTTGTCAATATGTCTAGTTGTGACAACTTTAGCTAAGTAAAGTCTTTTTGATAACTTATTAAAATTGCTTTGGTCTGCCTTCCCCACCCCTAGCCCACCATCCAAAGGGAGAATTCATCCCTGGCCCTCATGGCTCTCTGCTTTCTTAATTCTAAATCTAATAGCCGACTTTGACTATTTTAATAGTTTAGCAGCTTAATCTCTGTAAAAAACTCCGTATGCTAAAGTAAAGAAAATTTGCTAAAATTTACTTGTCCCGTGCAGATAGATCGGCCGCAGAATACATATTTGCCCAAAGATGTGGCTCTTTATGGGTTAACATGGGCCTTTTCTCTTTGTCTTGTTGAGCTAATAACCCATTTCTTTTATTACAACGCCTTTGCTACAAGGTGAGATATACTTATATATTGAACAAAGTTTGTATCTCCCAACATTATCTAATTTCAAATATTGTTCCATTCATCAGTGGCTTGTGGAAACAGCTATCAGCTTTGGATGTCTTTATCATCGGGTATGGGGTAAGAGCTGCTTATTTGTATTGCACTCATTTCTGAAATGAGCTAGTTGGTTTTCAATATGGACTGAATTATTTGGGGCAGTGGCAGGGTTACCTCTATGGCTCTATGGCTGACATTTGTTTCTGATGGGACCTGATTCGTCAAATTATCTAATTTGAACTATGATATATGCACCCAAGTAGCAGAAAAGGCCATCTTAATATCCTACTGTAGCATGTTTGATATTGTATTCTACATATCTGTCTCTATCAGTTTGCTACAGCCATGAAGTTGATAATCCTGTCTCTTCTTCATAGAATTTGTTCACTTATGTGCTGTTCAGAATCTATTAATATTAGGTAGGTCACGGTTTGGTTGTTTGTTTGACCCCTTCACCCCCACTTGAAACTACATGCAAATGGATCTGGAATTTTTCATAGTTGAGTTGAGATGCTAGATTGCTTTTTGCCCAAGGTTCTATCTTACTATGTGGCCTTAAGAAGAATGTACATTGCATGTGTAATTCTAGGGATTGAGGGGCGGGGGTTAGGAGTAGAGAGAAAGATAATCTGATGGTGCTTGTATTATCTGTGAGTATCATTTTTAATTTTGTGGTTTACTACTGCATATTTATGGCTTAAACTATTACTCTGAGCTTCTGTAGACTGCTTTTATAATGTCTTAGCTCAAAAGTTTGGTCTCAATTTTTTATGTCATGTTTCTCCCTAATGACAGGTCCTAAATTTCATGTGGTTGAAGTTTCTTCTCATTTGGCGGTTCTTCCGATTTTGGTCATTGGTATGCAAAATTGTTATTTAGTTTAATCTGATTTTTAGGTGCTGTATCAGTTTATAATGTCTTATTCACTCCCATTTAAAAATTAAAACATCAAAAGTTTCTTCTGTTATTTTTATGGTGGCATTTTTTCCTGAGTTCCTTAAGAATGGTCTTACAGCTTAATGGCATTGAAGCTCCTGAAAATATGCCTAAATGCATCAACAATTGCCACAATTTGGAGAGTTTTTGGAAAAGTTGGCATGCATCCTTCAACAAGTGGCTTGTGAGGTGTGTTTTCTATAGATTTGGTTTGATGTTAATCTCTGCACTAATATGTAACAGGTAAATAGTTATTTAATGATGGGTGTGGAAGCTAGGTACCTTTACATCCCTCTGGGTGGCGCACAAACAAAGTTGCTAAATGTGTGGGTTATATTCACCTTTGTTGCTATCTGGCATGATTTGGAATGGTAATTGCTTTGTTCAGTTTGCCTGCCTAAGTCATTCTTTTTTTATTAATACAGTAACTCATTTACTGTAACTTTGTTTTATAAATCTTGAACTTTTGACTTGGCTGCAGGAAGCTTCTATCTTGGGCATGGCTGACATGTATCTTCTTCATCCCAGAAATATTATTGAAATCAGCAGCGAAGGCTTTTAAGGTTTTGTTCTCTTGTCAAGTATATGTTTCTTCACTATCTTATCCTGGTGCTGAATTAATTTACTGAAATCAGTTATTTTGCAACCAATGTGGAGCAGTGGAGGTTCCTTTGTCATGCTAGGTATTGGCATGGGTATAAATCAAGAAACATTACTAGGAAAATCCTTAAATATATAATTGCCATAACATAATCTATTTCTGAACTCTACCTTTTGGGAGATTGCGGTGTGGACTGGATCCTAACTCTAGTTTTTCTTAAACATCACTGCTCCAAAAAGAAGAGAACTCAGAGGACCTCCCAAGGTCTTGATAATGGGACTAATGGGATGTATAGTGAAAAGGCATGCTGTGCAAATTTAATGACATGTTATTTGCTAAGTTCGTTACCAGTATCTTTCTTCTAATTTGTTACTATTTTTTTTACTTGCAAGTGGTAAGAGTTTCATCTGGTCATATTTTCAGGTGGAGAGTACTTTCTGGAAGTTTTTCTTTGAGGAACTGAGTGCAATTTCTGGGGCTGTAACAATTACTTGTCTCATGGTATATCTCTCATTATTTATGCGATCAAAACATTAAGCCTTTAGTATCCTGCTTATAATCTGTAGCAATTTCCTTATTGAATTTCGTTAACTTTTGTTTTGTCCATTGTGATGTTTAGTGTATTTGACGGTTTTCTTTAAAATTTATCTGCTGCCTGACTAATAAAATTTGTCCAATTTTCTGATGGTGGAAGTTTGAAATTTAAGTCTCAATGATCTTTCTAAGTAACATTAATTGCTTTATTGCTTGCAACTTTAAGGCTAAATATTTTTGAACTAAAGCCTGGACGAGCCCGCTGGTGGAGCAACACTTTTGGCCGATAAAGTGAAAATCACATATGTGGAAAATGAATTTACAATCTATTTTTGTAAATTTTTCCTGCTGTATTTCATTTAAATAACTTTCAGCTAGATGAACATGGTGTAGCAAAATTTTGGGCTTTGCTGAGTGAAAATTATGTATATAAATCCATCTCTGGCGAAGAGTGTCCTCAAGGAGGTTTTATTGTAAAGAACTCATGGTTGTGCTTGATCCTTCGTGCAGATTGCTAACCTTGTCGGCTTTGTTGTTGGGCCGTCAGGAATCAATTTCTTGATTTCTGGTTTCCTTCATAAAGAAGGTATTGGAATTTGATTATCCTTGTTATGGTTATTGTCACTCTCAGCTCAAGGAAGTTTATGTTTATGCGAGTTTTTTTTCTTTTCATAGGACTTCCTGTACTCGCTGGCATATTTTTCACCTTCTATCTAGGAACAAAGGTATGTTGAGTAGATGAGTTGAGTAGTTCTTTGGTAAGAGGTTCAGCAATTTTGACTAACTGGACCCCTATTCTTGTACAGCTTATGTTTCATATTCGTGATGCCAGACAAAAATCATCTTGAGTTGACAATGGAAATACTATTACTGATTTGGCTGTAAATGATTCTGTGGGGACTTCTGACATGAATACATTCGCTTGAGCGATCATATCAGTTGAGCTTCAGATACCGTATCATATGCTGGACTGCTTGAGGCTTGAAAGCTGTGACATTATGGTCTTGAATCTCAAGACATTAAGAAGGAAATATTTTTGCAGCATTGCAAGTCAATATTCGATGTGTAGGCGACTTCTGGTGAGAAGACATTTATTCTAAAGATTTTCGCAAGGAAATTTTGTGTACAATCGGTAGAGCTGGCACCATGTTTCACGTCAGCCTGATTGATCCAAACTTTATGAATCTCTGTAAAATTCAGTGGTTTGTATTGTAAACATGCAGATTAAAACCCTTCTAAGATTATCTATTTCAAATGAAGTGAACTACACAAGCAATTAAGAGTCAATTTTTCAGTTGATACTTTTCAATGTCAAGTTTATTGTTTGCGCAGAAATTTAATACTCCCTCATCCATACAATATCATAATTCACAACCATGAGGTCACTACCATACAGTTCATTCCTAACAATTGCTTGGTTATTTGATTACTTACTATTTTCCTTTTAACTCTATTTCTATATAAACTTTGACCATGTTCAATTACTAATATGTGAAAATATACTTTGTATGTTATGAAGTATTATTTAATTGATGTAGGGTTAAACTCAATGTACATGTTCAAAGTATAATTTTTTGGTGATTGTTACTAGTTAGTCATGGGTAAGTCATTAGAGAGAGAAATTATATACTATGGAGAATTGAGTAATTCATAACCAATATTGTTTGAGCCCAATTCTTATTTGATGATTTTATGTTTTCATCATAAGTTTAAAATATAAAGTGTGAAGACTTACATGATTGTACATATACTTTGGAATCAATATGACATATTAAACAGGGACAAAATAGATGAATGGATTAGGGCTAAGGAGTGTTGACCAAATTAATACTTGTTAAGTTCTTATTATAGTGGACATTACCAAATTTGTCAGAGTAGCTTTGATAATGATGCATTTTTCAAGGATGATTAATTTTGTGATGTAAAATCACGCTTTTTACATAGTGTAGGGTTAAAATTCACACATTGTTTGTTGCATAATTAGATATCCACTCTCTAATCAAAACAATATACTTGCAAGAGTGAAACTGAAGAAAATATTAGGGTGAATGAGTGCGTATAATTACCGTCTGTCCATCAAATACATGTATAATTATTAATTATACAGGTAGATATTATAAAATTAATGCGAGTAACATTGGAGATAATGAACAACTCCAATGATTATGCAATTTTCAAGAATAATTCATCCGGACGTGTTTTTAACAAAATCTTCAAATACTTGGATGGGTGTATATATTGGGTTAAGAATAATTTCACACATATTTCTGTTGCATTTTTTGTAGCATACCTAGCAAGGACCGCCGTATTCAACATCCTTACGAGGGTCATTAATCCACGATCATGGCTCAACCCGACTCCCGATACTATTTGACCCCAGTCCTCAACTTTGTAGGCCTGTTCACGGATCGGATATCCAATCCGAAATGTGATTCCGGATCGGATATCCGAATACTTGAATATCAGAAACTGATATCCAAATTTGATCCGAAAATTTCGGATATCCGAATATCGGATATCCAAAATTTTCAGATTGGATGGTTCGGATATCCATTATCCAATATTAAGTAAAACTAATTATGATTACTTTCTAAATTTCACTAATTTTACCGCTTTTTTATCGCTAAGTTGTACAACATATTTTAACAAAATAGTAATCTTTGTGCAATAAAAATTATCATCAAATATATTAAGAATATTATAATAAATTAATAATACATGGTTAGTTTTATATGAACAATTTTAAATTTTATATATATTTCACTATTTCAGCCTTTATGTTTCGTATATCAAAAATCCAAAATTTTGAAAATCAATATCCAAATCCGCATCCGATATCCGCTTTTTCGGATTGGATATCCGATTCAAAATGAAAAGTTGAATCGGATATCTAAAAATTCGGATCAGTTACAAATGGAATTATTGGATTTTTGGATTGTCTCATAGTTTTATACAGGCCTACAACTCTGCACCACCAAACCAACTGTTCCCAAGTCCCAACTTCCCAATCACCACAAAACCAGTACTTCTATTCTTGACCAAATCAGAAAAACAAAAATTAAACCCAACAGTCCATACTAACAATCATCTCTAATGGTGGAGAGAAGGAAGCCATTGGTGCTTGCTTCCACCAAAGCCCTTCTCAACTCCGTCCTTCAAAACCCCACCTTCGCAACCAGTAGCGCAGCAGATGCCAAGGTTGACGATAATGCCCTCGCTTCCTTCGATGCTTCCCCACCATCCCTTCAGTTACAAGCTGGAATTCTTCGGTTTCACAAGGATAAAGATGGAATTCCACCAAGAATTGCTTCTCTTGATGATTCTTCCCTTGTTGGTCTCTCTCTTGCTGACCTTAAACGTCTTGCCATCACTTCAGGCTCTCTGGTATATATTCCTCTTAGTTTTGATTTCTGGAATTAATTTTTTTTTTTTTTTTAATATTTTATTGTGAATTGTTATGGTTTTAATTTATCATCGTATTGGTAAATCAAAGATATTCCTAGATTGTCATTTGAAGAGTTGATTGCAAATTGTAGGAAAGTTTTAGTTTTGAGTTATGCATTGGACTTTGAATAACCCCTTGAATGATTGGTTTGGTAGCGCGTTGAAAATGCTATTAAGCTCGCAATTAAAACAAACACATGAAGGAATTTGGAATGAAATGTGTAGATGGATGGATGTGTTCTGGCCTAGTAAGTTGTGAATTATTAAAGTTGGTTGTTAGTGATATACCAATGTGTTTTTCCTTAAAAATAGGTGTTTATCAAAAATATTGAGACCAATGCTCGAAGAATTGGCCAAGTTGTAGTTTTAGATCCCCCTCTTTCTGAGGATGAAATATCGCCTGCTGCCGGAGAAGGCACCTGTGCCTCTGAGACAATGCTTATATTACCATCATTGACTTTCCACCAAAGCTACCTCCAGCCTTTGAGAAAAAATGTTGCCTATCTCTCTCCTTTCCTGGCATTTAATGTGGACCTTCATACGTCGTGCTTGACATCTCTTCTTCGCAATGGAAAGGAGTCTCTAGCAACTATATTTGATGTTGATGAGTGTGCAGAGAAAAGTGAACTAGGGCTCGAGAATTGTTTTGTCAATTTGAGGTTGGAGCCTTGGCCCCATGTGCCACGATATGCATCACATTTAAGAATATCTTTTTTGAAGGTACCCGAGTGTGGTACCATTGAATCTCTTAGAGGAAAGTCTCCCATTGAAGCTGTGGATCGTCAAGAAATGATTGATTTGGCATTACAAGAGTATTTCAATATTGATAGATATCTTGCTAAAGATGATGTGTTCAGTATACAAATTGACTGGAGTTGCAATTCAATCCTGTGTGTCAGTTGTAGCCTGAAAAAGAAGAATGATGGAGGTGATATTATTTATTTCAAGGTGAACTCCTGTCTTTATTGAGGCCTCTAGTTCAAGTGAATTGAAGATGCGACAGAGTCAAAAGTAACACTGAGTTGGATCTTTATGTCATAGGTTGTTGCCTTGGATCCTCCAGAGGAACTTATTCTTCGTGTTAACCGTAAACAGACAGCTCTTGTTCTTGGTGGAAGTGCTGCCGCTGCTTTCCCCCCAGATATGTTAATCGCTGCTGAGCCTGCTGGAATTGCTCCTTTACAGAGAAATACTGTAAAGGCCCTGGGTTGCATCCTTACTCCATCTCTATGTCCATCTGTACTTTCATCCAAATTCAGCGTCTCTGTCTTACTGCATGGTTTGGCAGGTCTATCATCTTCTTTATCTCATAAAATTCTATTTTATGCAATCATCAATATAGTTGCATTTTTATCCCCCCCTTCCCCATCCTAATAAAAAATGGGATCTTCTATCATATGACCCTGTGTTATAGGCCTTTATATTTGAAAAAAACAAAAGTTTTTAAAATATTTATTTTAAACTACCCTTATGTTTGCACCCATTCCTAAGGTAACCTCCACTCAAAGACCTCATTAAACATAGAATTTTGGGTAACGATGCTACTATGCTTTGATCAAGACTTTCATAGCGCTAATCTAAGGTGAAAAAATGATAGTTGGGGAGTTAGAAATGCGATAAACGAAGCTGTGGTCTTTGAGTTCGAGAAGGGAATGTGTATGATCATTGATTTTTAGCAAGTGAGGAATCGATTCAGGTTTTATGACAATAGAATAAATTTCAGTCAATGCACAATATTGTTATCAAGTTCATTATGTATCAAGAGGATTTACTTCCGTTTCTTTTTGGATAAAACTATTTGTAATTTACACTATGCACACACCATTGTTTATTTTAAATTTTTGTTTTTTGGGTATTTGTAAGGAAATGTGAGGTCTTGTTAGGTTCGTTTCAATTTGTACTTTTCAAAAATCAATTTTTCTTATAATTTGTAAGGAAATAATGTATTGGTAAGGTTGAAAACTGAAATGTTTAATCTAAATAAAAACAAAGGAAGTATATCTTATACATCGTATTAAGTTGAGAAATCATGACAAAATCATATGTCGTTCCTTTAGTTAATGCTTGATTGTACATATAATTGTAACTACTTGCTTCCAATCTGTTAATTTTAACATCATTACCAATAAAAATATACACTGTTTTTAGCTTACTCCTGGTCCAAAATATAAGTTTTTTTACTGTACCAATGCAATTTTAATCTGCATCTCACAATATCATTTTACCATTATAGGTCACTTAACATTACCAAAGCAAATCTATACAGTAAAATCTAAAATACTTTATTTTTGACATGTTTTTTAAAGGACAATCGGATGGAGTCATACAGTTGTATATTCATCAATCTCTATTGTGAGATCACTGCTCAAGGAGATGTTAGACGCCAATGAATGCATATTTCATGACTTTCTGTACCAATTGGCAGTGACCTATTTTCAGTAAAATTCTTTTTTTCTTCAAAAAATATGGCCCTTGTTGTAGTAAATAATTAAATACTATATTATTCTAGATTGAGGAAGCAGTAGTTCTGTGCTTAATGTGAAAGTGAATATTTGATATTATCAAGTAGATTGATGTAGATGGACCAGATTTGTGATGGAATTTTAATTCCACCTAGGACCATGTTACAAAATAGTGCTGGGAGCTTATTCTGTTGCAATTGCAGGATCTGGAAAGAAGACTGCTGTCAAATATGTTGCTCGCCGACTTGGTCTGCATGTGGTAGAGTACAGCTGTAATGCTTTGATGGAAGGGTCTGAGAAAAAAGCGTCTTCATTACTAACTCAGGCCTTCAGTACAGCTCATAGGTATTCCTAAGGTTGAAACTGTGGCATGATTCAGTCTACTTTGTTATCTTCTGTTACATTGTTTTTGACTAGTATTTCTGCCGGCTTCTTAACCAATATATAAACTAGGTGCCATACTTTATTTTGGGCGAAGATTTGAATTTGTAAGTTCATTTCATTAGAATTTACTATGTATTCTCTGATTAAAAGTTGGTAAATACTTTCCAAATGGTTCTTGCAACATCTAATTTATATCCATGTATAAATTGAAAAAGTAAAGTAAATGAGTTGAATTTTGATCCTTCACTTTTCTTAGCGTTTCATGACACAAGCTCTTTTTTATATCTATTTTCTGTAATAAAGGCTTAAAGATTTACATTTCATTTCCTCATATTATCGGCTTGAGGATGTTGTTCTATATGGGAGAGCAGGGATACATCTGATGCCTGAGTTAATTTTTGCAAATTTGGATCTTTTTGCAGATACTCTCCAGCTATATTGTTACTGCAGCATTTTGATGTCCTCCGCAATTGGGCATCCAATGAGGGTTCGCAATCTGATCACACTGGTATTATTTCTGAGGTGGCGTCTGTTATAAGGAAATTCACACAGCCAGTTGTCAAGGTTGAGGATGTACCTTTAGAGGAGAAATTGAATGGTAGCCCAGTAAGTAAAAGTTTCTCTGATCGGGGAAGATTTCTGTTTATTGTATTATATACGAGTTGCTGCTGATGTAGAAGGAAGTTTGTGACCAATTTCCTTTTCAGCTCTAGAAACTGAGAATCACTAGCCCTCAGTTTTTGGCCTAGTAATTACTATCAGTGAAACCATAAAATTTGATTGCGATTAATCCAAATAGCCTATGTGTCAAAAGGAAGAAAAGGATTAATATAATTCTTTCTTGCTTTATAAAATTTCCACTCCAATTTTAACCAATGCAATGTAGTGTTGGATCTGGAAAAGATTTGTCTAAATCACAACAAAATTGTTTCTAATAAGGTGTTTAAGAACTTGTCAGAGAAAACCCCCTTTTTTGCTTCATTTTTTTCAAATTTATTTTTTTATGTGAGCAACTGACTTGCTCCCAACACCCCATCTAATTAGGCATTGAACATGTGATACCAAAATGCATAATGTTTTGTTTGGCCATGCTTCTACAAAACTTCTGTTTCCTAGAAGTAGTTTTGTAGAAACTGTTTCTTTAGAAACACTTTTAAGAAACAGAAATGTTTGGCCACCTAATTGTAGAAGTACTTCTTAGAAACAGAAACAACTTTATTCTGTTTGGCCATTATTTACTCTACAAATTAATTTAGAGGGAGAGAGGCATTATGGACCATTTGATTTAGAGGGAGAGAAGTATTATGGACCATTTGATTTAGAGGGAGAGAAGTGTTGTTGACCATTGGATTAAAAAAGTAGCGCGCAGGATTGATTTTACCATGGAATTTACATTCCAAGAGTTGACTGTCTTTTCCTTCCCCCTTTTTTTTTTTCTTCATCATTCTCTTTCTTCCACTCTTTGTATCAAGCCTTCCTACCAGTTTCCATATATACCCAACTACCCAATGTGACTGTTTATTTTAAAATGATGAAACTAACACCAAACGTAAAACAGCAGTTATATAACATTTAAAATTTATTTGACAATCTAATCTTCATCATCTAACCGATATTTAATCGTCAAATTTTGTCAGAAACAATATATTTGTGGGAACTTCTAATAAAATGGGATTATACTTTTTTTCTGTACGTGAATTGCAAGTAGGATATTTTTTTTTTTGAAACATGGCCAGAAGCATATTAATGATGGTCTCGTGGTGGTTTGCCATGGGGGAGAGAGAAAGCACAGATTTGTATTTGAGGAGAGACTGAGAGAAATATTAAGTTTTGTATTATTAGGGGCCATTCTGTTTTTATTTATTTATTTATTTTTTAAATTTTTTATTTTATTTTATTTGGGGTAATATAGTCCGTGTGTAAAAATTTAAAAACTTCTTATGAATTCCACAACTCCCCGAGAAACAGTTTGAGAAGCTTCAATTTGGAGCTTTTGTTTCTAGAGCTGTGAGAAATGCTTTTGGTATTCTGCTTCTCATTTTACTCTTTGGCCTAGCTTCTAATTATAACTTGGTGAAACAGCTCTAGAAGCTTGGCTAAACACCCCCTAAGCCTTTTTTCGTTTCTTTTTCTCAGCTTAAGAATGAAAAGTAAATCCATATAGCTGATTGCACCTTGTACATTTAGCTTGAATTGGCCTCCTAGAAGATGCATAACCTAATTATTGCATTGCTATAGGAGACCGTAGCCTTTACTGCATAAGCGGATTGCACTTGCCCACCTTTTACAGCTTTTAAGAAGGGCTGCTAGGTTTAGTATCGTAGTATGCAACTAGCAATGCCTAGGATACAAAAGTCTGCAGGATTATCCACATCAAATGCAAAGCCTAGGTTATACTATCCCATGTGCAAACCCAGAATATTACTCAATGAAATCAACACACTGATATCCCTTAGAAATATATCAAAATACTACATGAATCTATTAAAGAGGCCCAGGTTTTCGTTCAAGGTACATGTGTCGTCTTCTGATTATTTTCTTAACTACAACATTACCTCTGCAATATACATCAATATACTTTCAACAGACCTTTTTCTTTTCTGAAACAGTGAAACACCCTCGTGTTTATCTCTTTCTAGATACCTCACAATGCCTATGCTAAAAGTATCTTCAGAACCCTGCCAAGGCTGAGCAATCAATCAAATTTCTTTGCTGTAAACAAATTCAGAATATGAGATACAAGGATTCCATTCAGTTTCTTAACACTGAATCTGACTTTCATGAGATGCCAATCTTCTGTAGTCTTTCATCTTTTTCTGTTGCTCTGTTTATTCCACATTAAGAGCCAAAAAATCATAGACCACACATCATTAATCACTAGACATGCGAGTCTTCTGCTATCTTTCTCTGGTGCTTATAGGGATGACTTTCCTCCCTTAACATTGCTGACCTTCCTAATTCTACTTTTTGCAAATGTTTCCTTGCATACAGATTCAATATAGTGAACCTGAATTGTCTTCAGCTTATAGTAAATTACTTCACAGCCATCAACTAGAAGTACTTCCAATTACCAATGAATTTAAAATTGAAACTGTTTACCTTATTCTCTTCTATTTCCACTGTTATACAACTATCCAAGTGTAAATAAGTCTTATTTAGACCTGCTATGCCTTTCCCCCAGTTGATGACATCTGAAACCATGGCCTGCTGTTGTACACCATATTTGGTGTAACTAAATGTATATTTAATGAAAATGGAGAGGGGACATATATTACCAGGCCTAAGCCAATTCGCCATCAGGCTGGTTTGATCTGATCTTGTCCTTCATGGACCAACTTGGACTCTCAACTGCTCTTGTCTATGCCCTGGGCCATTTCTATGGGCTTATGAGTTAAACCTGAATCGGATTAGTCCCATACGTAACCAAGCTTGTCGTGTTATGTGTCCGTGTTTCTTCTGCTTTGTGAAGTATGTCTGTTTTGTGATCTGTTTGTAACTTGCTGATGCTGCAGTTGCAGAGTGCTGAAAGAATAAGGCGACCCCAGGTCTTGTTGATTGCAGTAACTGAGAGTACGGAGGGCCTGCCACCTACTGTAAGACGCTGCTTTAGCCACGAGCTTAATCTGGAGCCTTTGACTGAAGAAGAAAGAGCTAAAATGCTAACCAAATCATTGCAAAGCATTCCTGAAATCTCTGCTGATGTATGTTTGATGTTCATCAATTTTGTTTTATTTTTTTTATAATTTTTATCATCTCTGCTCTTCATAAGATAGATTCAACGTATAACAAGTAGTAAAGGTTCATCTCTCAGCTGTTAATTTTGTCGCATACATGCAGATGCCAGATTTCTCTCTGTCCTCTTACCCCTTTCCATGCTTCACTTTCTCATCTCCTTTTGACTTAAATTTGACTTAAACTGTGGGAGGAGTAAATCTGCAGAGATCTAATTTAAAAAAAAAAAATATAAAGCGTGGAAGGTGAATGTATGATAAAAGGGAAAGGGAGAGTGGAAATTAAGAAACTTCTGAGGTTGTGAATCTGTTATTCCTTCTGCATTCAGGTCATCTGATTCCATACACCTCATATCAAGGGAAACTCAACATCTTCAAAGACTAAGTGGTGGCATTAGTGGAGGTCTTTTTTAAATAATTTATTAGATAGAAAGATTTTCTATAGAGATGAAGGAACACATTACGCGTACAAAGTCAAATGGAGGACTAGTAATGAGAAAGCGCGTTAATCACACTAGACGGCTGACAACAAAGTATTAGATAAAACACCTTTAAGTCTTTTCACTACAGACTACGGAGAAGCTAAAAGAATCACAATCCTATGACACCGCCCCATTAGCCTTATTATGAAAGATGTGATCATTTTGCTCCTACCAAAGCACTCAAACGTAGCCATAGAAACGCTCCTTCACCTTATCTCAAGCAGTGTATTAAAAGTGTGCTTAAGGCGTGCCTAGTCGCTGAGGTGCTAGGTGAATAGGGTAGAACTTTTTTCACACTAGGCAAGGCGCATATAAAGAGGCAAACCTTAGGCACATCAGAGGCGCACAAGGCACACATGAGGCACACCAGAGGCTCACGATGCACACATGAGGCGCATCTGTACAATGCGTCTCCCTTAAAGAGGCGCACTGAAGCGTGGCAAAGGGGCAGCAGGATCTTTATCGCTTTAGTGCGCCTTGAGATTTTTTATACATTAATCTCAAGAACTTTTTACTTGTTATTATAATTAGACCACATCTCATCTACTCATCACACCAGAACAGATCATATCTGCATTTGGTTATTGTCAAATATCTGGAATTTCTTATTAATAAATATCATGAAAATTAGATACTTAGAGAATAGAAAATACACATTAAGATAGATCTAACAAGACCCTAGTTTGTAATGTTTTTTCTTTCAAGTTTTTATACTCCCTCTCTTTTTTTTAATTTTTTTGGAAAGTTGCATATTAATTGCACAATTTCCTTATATGGATACTTCGTTCACCTTTTGCTTGTGTTCACACACAAAATACTCTAACTACCATTGTTCACATGTGATAACACATTAACAACCACAATTACCCCACCTTTTCTCTCTCTTATTTGTTTATATCACATAGGCAAATTTGACATTCCCCACCTTTACTCTTTTTCTTGAATCTTGTGCCCATACCAAATGGTGCGATTAAAAAAAAAAAAAAAGAACTATTTATTAGCTAACAAATGTGGTCAAAATTTAGTCAAGCATAGTGATAAGATCAGACCATACTAGACTAGAAGTTTTTTAACTAGACATATTAGACCTTAAAAAAAATCATACCAAAACACCTTATCTCTGGCTAATAGAACATAGCTTATGGCACATTTCTCCTCCCAAAGAACATAGCTTATAGCACATTTCTCCTCCCAAAATCAAAGTTGACATACATAAACTTGACAAGTTCAAAATTCCCATTTGAAATTAAAAAGGTCTGTCATAAAACAGCTGCCACTTTTCAGTGAAGAAAGGGTGAGGATCAAACTCATGTATCCTTGTACACATAATACAGTCATTAAGGGACACATCTTTTGTTGGCAGTTGTACCTGAAAATTATTAATTGTGATAAATCTCTTCTAATACTCAGTACTGTGATATATAGGTAGGATGTCATGAAGACTGTTAATTAGGCACTTATCTATTATATAGGGTGTTATTAGCAACATAACTTATTTTTGGCTTACTCTCTGGTTTGACATTCTATAAATGATGCTATTGCGTTCAATTGTTGTCTGTTAAAGCTGTTGAATTAATATGCTGGCTGTATTGGCTGCTGCAGGGTGGCATAGAGAATGTTGTTAAGGACTTAGTTGCTCAGACATCAGGTTATACACCCAGGGATTTACTTTCACTAATTGCTGATGCTGGAGCCAACGTGATCCCCAAAGATCTTTTCCTAAGTGAACCTGAGAAGACAGTTGAGAATAAATTGCTATCTAAATCTGTTGGAGAGATTAATAATCAGATTTCAGGGAAAGAAGACTTGTCAAAAGTGTTAGAGCGCTCGAAAAAGAGGAATGCATCTGCATTAGGCGCGCCGAAGGTACCTGTTTGCATTAGTGACTATATTTGTCAATAATATTTTTTTTTCCTGCTACTGAGTAGCTATTTCTTATGTTATGAGCTTATGACCATATAGTTAAACCCTTTTTTGGGTATAGCTTGCATGCAAATCCCAACGTTGGAGGGGCATCCATGTCAGTACCAACAAGTAGTCGATGCTACTTTAGTGACAGCGCTACATTAAATTTGGGATTCTATAAGCTCGCTTTTTTTTTTTTAGTTATGTTGGCTTGTCCATCCTAGATGGTGAGATTGTATTAATGTATGAGTGGTGGAAATAGAGCATGGAGTAGTGTGTAGCTACTTCGCAAGAATATTCCATAAACTTAGGAAATATTTATTTATGTTGTTGGAAGGCTTCACTTATGTACAGTTTAAAACCATATATAATTTATATCACAGCCTTATATTTTTTCCTTGGGAGATGGTACTTGTAAAAATGCGCAGTAAACAGACAGATTAAAGCTACCATAAAACAATAACTACTAATATTTTCCCTACAGAGGCAAAGATCTAGGAAGGTTCTTATGTATGCAACATTACCCCCAAGCAGATGAAGCACTCTAGAGAGTCTTTTTAGAAGACCCACAATAAAAATAAAATAAAATAAAATAAAAAAATTCAGTCTTGTCTCTTTTTTTAATTTTTTTATTTTATTTTATATATATGTATTTTTAAAAAAATAAAAAATAAAAAATTTAGAGGTACTGTAGCTAATAGTAATAATGGAATTTGTGTTAGTCGAAAGGTAATAGTCATATTTGCAACTTGAAAGAGAGTAGAAATAGTGATGAAGTAATGGTGATGTTAGTGGAAGAAGTAATCCTTTGTGCAGTTATGCCTTTCATTGCAATCCTTCTTCTTGAATTATTTATTGCTTTCACCTTTGGATTCATCTTGGATCTCCTTTCTAAATTACCTTTTCCCATCTCCTAATTCAGGCGTCATTTACCTTGAGAGTTAGGCATTCACATAGACTGCCGCCTACTGATAGGACTAGCCTAAGCCAAAATTCAGAATCTCAAGTTGATACTGTTGATGAGGATTTTCCCCACTATATTAGGTACCATGAACAAATATCATTAAGAATGAAGTGACTTAATATGTGGTGGGATTGGCATTTTGATTGGGATAAGATGCGAGAGAGCAGATATAATTGGTTTGGGCGTCTTAAGGCACCCAAATGTACCTATTAAGGGACTGGAGTATAAGGTGGGTTTTAGTCATTTGACAAGAGTTCAGAGAAAGTATCAAGCAGTTCATCTAAAGCTCAGCAAGGACATGTTCTATTATGGTAAATTGCAATCCTTGAGGATTAGTGTAGTGATTCTCTAACAAGAGTACCTTGTTGTCATGGTCCAAGTGTTTTGACACCGGATCTATCAAGGGTTGGTTGGGGCTTGGCACCCTTATGTGCCATTAGTCTAGTTGTGCTATCCCATCCTCATTTGGGCATCAATTATGTTGTGTATGTCAACTTTCGGCAACCTGCAGTATACTCTTGTTATCTTGTGCTCTTCTCTTTTATTCTAACACTATCACTTTATACTGTTCCTATATTATTGTGTGTGAGTGTGTGTGTGTAAACACACACACACAAAACTGTATTACTTACCTAACCTAATTAACTATTGCTTCTATTACTTCAAGTTGTACTCTTTATGTTTTAACCGCCATTAAAATAAAATATCTCGGTGGATCTAGCAAAAACAAGCCACTATGTGAGTCTTGACTACTCAAAGTGGCTTCCTAGGTTCCACTTCCATGTAGTGCCTGGCTGATAGCAGCAGCTACCATATGGACATAATTTTTATTTTAAAGTAGTTGAAGAAATTAGCACATATCAAAGTTGAAAGTGTGACAATAAAATTAGGGGAGTTTTCTTCTTATAGCTTTCTAATGCTTAGCAGTTTGCAAGTGGAACCTTCCATACGTATACTCGCTATAACACCTGTGTATTCTACTTATAGTAAAAAAAGTACTTATTGTTCATGGCAAAATAGCTTTTGGTTCCTTCTTTCCAACAAAGAACAATTCGTCTGACTATCATTCTTTCACAGGTTCCGAATGTTAAATGGGAAGATGTTGGTGGGCTTGAAGATGTGAAGAAAGCAATTCTGGATACTGTTCAGGTTAGTTTGTTTGTATATGCCAATATTACTTTTCCATCACTCTGAAACTGCTGTATTAATTGGTTTGGTTCTTGAAGAATGTAGTTTTTTTTTTAAAAAAAAATTAAATTGAATTTGGAATGGAAAATTTTTGGACAACTACCTAAAAACTCTTCACTTTTGGAAAAAAAACTATCTAATAGGTAGTGTTTTTTCTAAGAAAAAGCATAAAGTTTTAATGTTAACTTATTAGGTAGTTAAGATTTTCCAATGGTGGACAAGTTATAATTAGTTGTTCACAAATTTTCCTTTAATAAGTTCCATAACCAAAATAAGAAGTGTTCTATGATCTATGACATAATGATTACTTCTCACTTTTATTTAAAATTACTTTGGCAAGTAATATCAGGCCATCAGCTAATTAAAATGACTTAGATACTTGGACCCAATGCCTACTCCCTTCAAACCTATCTTGACATGGCATAATCTGGAAATATACGTGGTATATGTGCCCTATTTGGCAGGAGAATAAGTGGATGCATTTGCCTACCTTATTGGGATTTCATGCCCTAGAACCAGTATGCTTTTAGGTTTTTGAAAACTTGGTTGGGGAGGGGGGGGGGGAGGGGGGGATATATTGCATTTCGATGTCTAATATCTCTATCCAACTGTTTCAATACACCAAATAATTTGTGTCCCATTATTGTCTTTCTGTAAATTATTACTTGTAGAGTGATACGTTTATTAGAATTTGAGTGTCATGGCCAATGATTTGGTTGCCTAATCTTAACTTAAAAGTATATGAAAGAGTTTTGGAAAAATTAACAAGAACAATCCCAACTATTGCGGTTATTCTTATTTTAATCCCAACTATATTTTAACTCAAAATAATTCTAACTATATAAGGGCCTTCTCAAAATAGTTTTCTTATATTGTTAACCTGTGAAACAGGTCAAAAAGGCTGGTGAGTCAAGTTTCAATATCTAGTTTTTTTTTTTTTTTTTTTTTTTTTTTTTTTTTTTAATTTCCCTTTTAAAAAACATTTAGTATATTTACTCCCTGATTTCCGCTCACTTCATTTGTTCACAATAACCACCGCCCTCATTGCCCACTCCTGTCACAATCACTGGCCACCTCACCTCATCAACTCCCCATCCACCATACTACTTCACCGGCCTCCTTTTATTCAAGGCCATCACATGATCCAATATGAAAAGGTAACAACCCTCTAAAGTGTCGGCATTGTCGAATTGTCTTCCGCATAGATTTAAGGTCTACGCCCTCAATGATATCGGCATAGCATCTAAATTTGATCTGAGTTAAAATATAGCATAGCAATGGTTAAGAGTGGATTAGTGGCAGAGTATGGGAAAACGAGATGAGATATAGCGAATTCAGGTCCGAGGTTAGGAAATTCAGGAGACACATTTGAGCCTTCCTAACAATTTTTTCGGGCATTCAAAGCAGGATTTCAAAGATTAGATCTTCTGTTAACCCTATCAATGGGGAATTTTCATATTTTTGTGTGTTCCGTAGTAAATTAGGGCTTGCATTTTTCTATTAAAAATAATCTCAAAATCCAATTGTCAAGAACACCAATTTTACACAATCACTCATTAAAATTTCCCACAAAAATTCTTAGCGCTACAGAATTGTGTAATTGAAACAACATTAAATTTATAAAAGAAGTCCCCTAAAAAAAATTGTATAAAAGAAGAATTATGCATAGTTATGGTAAAAATATATATTGACTAAAATGATAAAGAAAATGAAAAAAAAAAGAAAAAAACCAAAACCTTTGGGAATGTTGAACTACTGAAGGAAAAAAATTGACGGGTTTTGGTGGTGGGAATTTGGGATGGTGGTGGTGTCTTGTTGTGGTTGGCGTCACTGATGGAAGCACATTAGGAGGGAGAAGTTGAGAGGTGGTGATGAACTGTAGCTATATATGGTGGGTGAAATGACTCAACTTAGAGAAAGTAGAGGAGGAGAGAGATGTTGGGTGATGGTATGGTGGCTGGTGGCTTAGGTGGAGTAGGAACGGTCACGTAAGGTGGACAGAGAAAGGAGAATGGGATGGAGGGGAAGAGTAATCTCTATAAGTTGCAAGTCATTTTAGATGTTTTGAGAAGGGTCATTGCATAAATGGGATTAATCTAAGTTAAAAGATAGTTGGGATTATAATGAGAAGAACCCTAATAGTTTGGATTATTCTTGTTAATTTTTCCAAAAGTTTTTAAAGAACCACTATAGTAATGTATATTGTCAGTACTGAATAGTTGCCTGCTTCTATTTATAGACTAAGTAGTTTGATGGTTATTTATTCTCCCCGCTTTTAATATAATTGAATAACTGCTTCCACTTTCTTTTGTAATATCCATATTTTCTCCTCAGATAAATTGCCTTTGGCCCCAGAGTTGAACAATGGACTTTGAACTCTATGACTTGTTGGGTTTGATGGTGCTAATAGTATAGGCCTACTCTTATTAAAGAGTATGGGCTGGCAGATTATAAATTGGGTGTAACAGACGGGTATGTTTGTAATGAGTGTGGTCATTGTTATTATGGTGCATATGCATGTGTAGTTGAAATCATTTAGTTGAGTGAGTGGAGGAGGGTTATAGTAGGCCAGTGACAGCCAGTGTAAAACTTTGTCACATCTCTTGACATGATCCACAATGATTGAGAGTAGTACTAGGATGGGTGACCTCCCGGGAAGTCTTCATATTGGTTCATGTAGCCGACCCCACTTATGGGATTAAGGCATTCAAGCATAAGAAGTGAAAATAGTGACAAAAGAAGAATAACAATCGGTTGAGGTCTAATTGACCATTGGGGCTTGATTGATGTACTTTTATAGCTTTTTATTGCTACTCTATCGTTCCATATCTAAATTTTGGAAGCTTTTTAGCCATGCTGCCATGCTCTTGGTTTTTGAATTTTCCTATACTAGATCCATGGATACATATTAGAGTCTATACACTAAATTCCCGATTGAGGGCTACTTATGTTATGATTTTGTTGCCTAGCTTTAACTTATGAGCACTACTTAAATAGAACAGATACTATAATTATGCCAATGTTGTCAATATTATTTTATGTGTGGCTGACTCTAGATTGTTTTGTTTGCTTTAGTCAGCATAAATGGATGGAGTGTGACTATTGGTTATAGTGTTATAACTGTTACAATGGTGTGTATGTATGCGGTTTTATAGTCATTGGGGGTTAGAGTCGTCAAATTTCTGGTTTGATGATGGTTTTAAATTTTTTTTGGATTTGAGTTGGTTCAGAAGAAGTTTCTCAATTTTGTTTGTGATCCTTCTTCATGAAGGCTTTTGCATTTTACTAGAGATTTATTATAGGCCCTGTTTAGTTCACCTTATTGGCACTTATTTCAAGACTATGTTGAGATAAGGGTTAATAAGGTCAGATAAGACATGTTCAGGAAAAATAAGTTTGATATGGGTTAATAAGAGCTACCAAAGCTCTATTACAACTGAGGGGGTGTTTGTTTGATATAAAAACCATAGATGGAATGGAAAGGATTTAAATAAATAGAGAAAAGGGTAATGATAAACGTTACCTTTACTATATGTTTGGTATCTTAATGGAATGGAAACAATTTGAGTAGATTGTGATTAAGTAAGGAAACGTATTTTGTTTCCACTAGTTTGTCAAGGGTAAAAAAATTGGGGGATTTTGTTACCCTCCGAAAACGGCATTTGTTACTTTTAACTCATACCAAACAACTAAAAATGGAAACACTTATTTGAATCCGTCTCGTACATCTAAAATTGCTACACCAAACGCCCCCTAAGTTCTAATAAGTAAGTTCTCTTAAGTTCAGATTCGTTATGTGATAATGTTCTAAGTTCTGATAAGTGAAAATTAGGTGAATAATATGCACCCTTAGTCATGTCTTGATGGTCTTATTACATTTTTTAATCGTGTTCATTGGTTTTCTAGTTCTAATTGTTGATTTGGTGCAAAACATTTGGATACTTCTCCCCGTTGTTACGTGTTTCTGTGATACAGTTGTTGTGGTGGACAATTTGCTACTACTGTGTGTGCTTGAATTTGTAGGTGTTGGGCGGCATTTGGCATAATTATGGTCTTAACTTTAAATTCAAGTGGTGACAAATTCAAGAATTTATGCAAAGCTCATATGGTGTTTTAGGCTTTGGCTTCAGCATTTTTGGTCTCATTGCTTACTAGGTGTCATGAGCCTTAGAGCATTCACTATTATTGGTTTGCTTGACGTTGTTCTTTGTTGGAAGTTTTCTAACTTGCTTTATTTGTTTATAGCTACCTCTCCTACACAAGGATTTGTTTTCATCTGGGTTGCGTAAACGTTCTGGGGTTCTTCTTTATGGTCCTCCAGGCACTGGAAAGGTAAATGCTTGCGTAAATGTTTGAATTTCGTCTTTTCGTCATGAAATCATGAGCATATAGTTTATATCTTCTGATTGTCATTTCATGACTAAACTCAGACTCTGTTGGCAAAAGCTGTAGCAACGGAATGCTCTCTAAATTTCCTAAGCGTAAAAGGACCTGAATTAATCAATATGTACATAGGGGAGTCTGAGAAAAATGTGCGAGACATATTTCAAAAGGTAAAGTGCTGTAGTACCTTTTACCTCTGTTTAAGTTGTTTGTTGAATCAATAAGTGAACCTGGTCGTGTGGCAGGCTAGGTCAGCACGTCCATGTGTCATTTTTTTCGATGAACTTGATTCGCTTGCCCCAGCTCGAGGTGCTTCCGGTGATTCTGGGGGAGTTATGGACAGAGTTGTTTCTCAGGTGAGGAATTGGACAAAGTTTGCTTGTAAGTTGTACTGTTGTAGCTAATGCTGATTAGTTCTTAGTTTGACTCAACACTAATCACAAAATATGTTTGTTTGTGCTAGATGCTAGCTGAGATTGATGGCCTCAGTGATTCCACTCAGGTTCCTTTCACATCTTACATATCATGACTATCTATGTTTTTCCAATTCTCAAATGGTAAAGTCTTTTCCTTGTTATGCTCCAAGTCTAATGTTACTATTTCCCTTTGCATTCTGTTTCACAAGGACTTGTTTGTAATTGGGGCAAGCAATCGTCCTGATCTTATTGACCCAGCACTCCTGAGGCCTGGCCGATTTGACAAGCTTCTCTATGTTGGTGTTAATTCTGATCCATCTTATAGAGAGCGGTTAGTGGGCCATATTTGTTACTCCTATTATTATCATTATTCTTCTTGCATTATCACTGAATATCCATTATTCCATCATGCAGAGTCCTAATAGCACTCACCCGGAAGTTTCAACTGCATGAAGATGTCTCTCTTTACTCAATTGCAAAAAGATGCCCGCCAAATTTTACTGGTGCAGATATGTATGCCTTGTGTGCAGATGCTTGGTTTCATGCTGCAAAACGGCAGGTATTTGATGTGTTGTAGTTTACTCTGGTGGACTGTTTTTTGGAAACTTTACAATGGGGCTTGTTCTAGCCTTCTGAGTGGGGTAGATGCTTAAATTGCTGTCAATTTTCTTATTCTTCTTTTTGCAGGTCTTAAGTTCAGCTTCAGTTCCAACCAGTGACGATAGCCATATGGACTCCATTGCTGTGGAATATGAGGATTTCATCAAGGTAGGAGATACATCCACAGTATGAGTTTTCATAATGTAAATAAAAATGCGTTAGATAGCTGCATCTAATGGCTATGAAGTTCGAAAACTATGCTGCTAACTCTGCTTTGACTTAACAAAGGCTTTGTTTTTTGATCTTGAGTTTTATTCATTTAAAAAAATGGGGAATATGACATCTAAAGTACCACTTGCATGATTTATGTTGAATCGCTTATGGGCTAGGCTATCAAATGGCTGTAACAACTAACAAGAAGCTGCTTTTCAAAACCAGTGTCCACTTACAAACATTAGATATTCCCTTCAAGTTTGAAGACTAGGACCGCCTGTCACCACAGAACATTTCTGGGAAGGAGGTAGCTGCTGGAAAACAGACTACCCTATCGAGAAAAATCTGCCATACCACCTCCAAAGCTAACCTGGGCCCCAAAATGTTTGGAAGATGGGACTTTTGGACATTTTGGTGAGGTAGGTTGATGAATGGAACCACAAACTCAGGGAATGGCAGCATGTTTTATGAGGGTGTGTTGGAATAAAAGTCCTTGCTGTTTGATGAAACTCCAACTTTATTTTGCTTTTGAAAAAAATAATTGTCCCTCGGCTCCTTAGTAATTAATTTCTAAGGATACACAACCTCTACCTCGTTGGCGTAGTATAAAGAGATACATGAACAGTGTGATCATTGACCAAAACGAAAAATGTTTTTGTATTTTCTAAGAAGAAAGAGTGATAGAATTTTCTGTTTTCTGCTGTCTTATATAGAGATGAACCAATGAGATTGAATACGGTAGATAATCAACCCAACTTATAATTTATAATTAGGGAGTAATGGCTAATTAAATGGAGGCAAGAATCAGTGAAAATCATGACACAATATAATGTTCATTAGCGAACAAATTAGTCTGAGATATTAAGTTGATGTTATGCAATAGTATAAGTAAACACCCACCAATGCACTGAACCACATGCCCGAGCCCACCACGACCGTGTGCGTGCATGATTGCTAGAGCCTAACTTTTAGTATTTTAATCAAGGGTTACAAGGAAGTTGAAATTGACATACTAATATATATTGTGGGTAAAAGACTAAAAGCTTTGTATGTTGTCTATATGGGACAATTGTTTCTTTTGAAGCAAAATAAACTTGGAAAATTGTCAAAGAATAAGGACATAACTCCTGCATCCCCCAACATGATTCAAAATATCTAAGGCTTTTGTAGAAAAATAGTGCTGGAGTAAGCATATGGACCGAGTCTAAAGCCTATTATGTAGTGATTGTGATTGATTCCATCTTAGGAATGTCTTGGTTCAAAGGGTCAAACAAAAAACAGAGTCAAGTACTACTACTATTCTTATTAATAAAGTGATGTATTTATAACCTATTGAAGTGGTCTAAAGCCAGTACAAATTTGATAAACTTATCTATGTGAATGTGGATGTTACGACTAATACCCTATGAGAGTCCTTATGCTTGGAACCTCTAAATTGTTCATGTCTTGGAAAAGTGGGCAATAAACTGCAAATTGTGAGAACACATCTTGATTTAAGAAAGTTTAGTGTGCTAATGTATTTTACTAATATCATGAAAGGTTCAAGGAAAAATCCACGTAACATGAATGTAAGACAAGCTTACAAGTCCGTTGCTCAAAATTCTTTGCGTGTCAAATCTATTGTTCTTTTGAATCGTGTAGGGGAATATTGGAGTTGAGTCCTTACTCATATTCCTAGGTTATTTTGCTTCAAACAAACCAATTCCCCACAGATAAAAATACAAAGTTATATATATATATATATATATATATATATATATATATATATATACTCCCTCCGATTTTTTTTAAATGCAACTTTGGTGTGTATTGCGGTTCACGAGGAAAAAGTTAAGGGGTATGTAGTAGTGGGGTTAATTAAAGGTGATTAAAGTGTGTAGAGAGAGAAAGTTTGGCCCACCACTTGGTAAAGTAGTGGTAAAGTAGTGGGTAAAATACTTTAAAGTAGTGTGTAGAGAGAGAAAGTTTGGCCCACCACTTGGTAAAGTAGTGGTAAAGTAGTAATTTTCAAGGTTTTTGTTTACCCAAAATAGAAATAAAATAGAAAGTTGCATTTAATTTTGATCGGACTAAAATAGCAAAAGTTGCAATTAAAAAAAATTGGAGGGAGTATATATATATATATATATATATATATATATATATATATATATATATATATATATATATATATATATATATATATATATATATATATATATATATATATATATATATATATATATATATATATATATATATATACCAACTTCTTCCTTAATCCTTGATTATAAGACTTGAGGTATGCTCTATCAACCATGCAAACACTATCGGGCTTGTGTACAGTGTGTTCACGTGTGTAGGCGTTTACTTTTTTACCACTCATCAATTAGGTTTTGGTCACTATCTGTTTAGTTATTGTGTTAAGTCAACTTAATATTTCACACTGATTTATTGGTTATTGAAGATTATATTGTGCCATAATCTTCATTGATTCTACCTCCATTTAATTAGCCATTTCTCCCTGATTAAAGGATGGGTTGGTTACTATCCATGTTCAATCTCATTGGTTCCTAAACATCTTTATATCTGGGGAAGTATTTATAGCATTTTCTTTGGCATAGAGTGATTTGGAATTCAGGAGTAGGTATGGTGCTATGGTCTTCAATAAAATGCCTAGGATGTGTTGACAGGGTCTCAGGTTCTACATACTAGCCCCTGGAAATTTGTTTCGCTTTTTTACTCTCTTGGGTCATATGCAAGGTGTGTACTGGAGAGAGAATTATATTTATCTTGGAGGGTGTTTGTGTTGGGGAGCAACCTTTTAGTATCATTTCCTCTTCCTATAGGTTGTGCATAGGGGTGCTAATTGAGCAAGGCAACTCGCGAGCAGCTCGAACTCGACTCGGTCAACGCTCGGTCAAAACTCGACTCTAGTTTGCTCGTACTCGCTCGAATCAGCTCGAAACTCGATAAGTGTACAAGAAATTCAATATTTTTCTATTCTTCTATCTTTAAAAACAAAAATTTACTTTGACACTTAATAAATTTAAAATAATAAACTTAAGTAAGAAAAATTTATATAAAGAGAATAAAATATGATCAACAAATATTTGAAATTCAAGAGACCTAAACCTTTAAACGAGTAACTCGTGATCGACTCGGCTCGACTCAAAAATTAGCGAGCACGAGTCGAGCAACCCTCTGCTCGTGATCGACTCGCTCGATTAGCACCCCTAGTTGTGCACTTGACTTCATACTCCTACTTGTTTTATTTGAGTGAGTAATGGTGATAATTTTCTTGTAATTTTCAAATTGGTGGGAACCCTCATGATAGGGAGTTTGGGACCTGCTAGCTACAAATCCTTGCAATTGTTTCTTTGTTAGACTCCGTGCTTAGAGAGTTTGGCTGACTGAATGTTCAGGATCTTTTACCTGCCGTTTGTTCTACATGTACCTTAATAGCCAAATCTCAATCCCTTTCATTAGTTAAATGAACATATTTATGATAGTGCAGAGAAGGCTGGGGTTAAAACTTTTGTCTGAGTTGCTGAAATTCTTGCTTGGGGTAACTTAGCCTTGTGATTTTGCATTCTTGAAAACCACACTAGCCTATATCCCCTCATGTGTACTATATGTCTTGCTGTTGAGGAGACATGGAATCATTTCATTTTGTATGTCACATGGTGATGATTCTTTGGCATTGGACATCCTATTTTTTTTCTTCAGGATCGTTTACAGTCAGTATAAGAAATTTCAGAAGGGAAAAGAAGGCATTAGATTCTGCACCATGTTGCTTTTTGTTTCCATGGTGTGGTTGCTTGGATAAGAATGATACTCCCTCTTTTTTTTTTTTTTTTTTTTTTTTAAAATTGTTCCATTTTGATTTGCACGTTTGCCAACACACAACTTTGATCAATAATATATTTAATGGTGAAAGTGAGTTTTATGAAAAGTGAAAAAAGTCTTAGTGGAGTAATTTCAAAAAAACAGGGGGAGTATGATTTTCCATGGCCGGGAGTCTTCTTTGGGTTACTTTGTTGGAGCAAGTGGTGTATCTAGCTTCTGTTTTGGGCTTTGCTCATGTGCTCAACTTGTGCTCGCTAAAGTTCCGAGCCAATAAAACATACTTGACTCGTGCTCGTTAAAGTTTCGAGTCGAGTTGAGTAGCTCACGATCTGCTCGTTAAAGTTTTGGCCCTTCTAAAATTATAGGCCTATATTTTTTTTTCACTTTATATAATTTTCTTTTATTTATTTTATTTATTATTAAAGATTTACTCTTTCTTTTTTGATGATATAAATTAACTCTTATTCAGTGTCAAATTTGTTTAAAAAATGATAACTTTGTAAATTCTATATTAATAATAAAATATATTATTGAGTTGCTCACGAGCTTATCGAGTCGAGTTAGAACTTGCTCAACTCATGCTCGTTAACATCTCGAGTCGAGTCAATTTCGAGTCGAACCAACTCGAGCCGAGCTGACCGAGTCGAGTTCGAGTTGCTCACGGCTCAATTCAATTAGCACCCCTAGTCTTTTTGATGCATTGTGAGATTGGAGTACTTTTTCCCTTTTGCCTTGACTTATGGAGGACTTCTGGTCCCAAAATTTTCAATTCTCCTATAAAATGAATATGTTTTCTTATCATATGTAGTATTTTATTTATTTTGTTTTATAAAAGTTGCTATTTCATCACATTTCATATCATATGCCATTTGCTTGAAGACTTGCAGAATTTTATTATGTAAATAAATAATGCATACCTATTTTCTTTTTCAACATTGCTTTTAGTTTGAGCAGCGGAATTATTTCTTAATATGTCCAGATAATGTCCACTCCAATGTGACATGGAAATGCTATAGAATAATGATATAGTAAATCAAAGATTTTATGAGCAAATTAACTATTAGGGATGGATACATTATGACCATATCTCAAACTCATCATGTCAAATCTACTCCTCACCCCCTTGCCGCCCTTGTATTTTTGAGCTACCCTTCTCTGACTGTCAATCTTACTGCTACCCTTAGTTATGGCCTTTAGTTTTTGAAAAGAAAATCAAGACCATTTTATTAGATTCTAGTATTGTATTCATCATTCATGTGGTAGGTTTGTGAGTATATTCTTTTGCTGTCTTGCCTTTCTAACTTGTAAGATTTGCCATTTATTGTTTTTATATAACCCGAAGGAATTATTGAGGAGAGGGAGAAGGTGAAAGTTAGATTTTTTGAACATCTTTGTTATGTCATTCTGAGCTGATCGATTAAACTGAGTCTGCTGTCTGTTTGTATTGTCTTTCATTACTTTGGCAGGTCTTAGCAGAATTACCTCCATCTCTCTCCCTAGCGGAGCTCCGGAAGTACGAGATGCTGCGGGATCAATTTGGAGGAGGTTCAAACTGACGACTTGGTGAATCTGGGAAAGTGCTCGGGCATCTAGCCTAAAATCAAGGATATTTCAACCTTCTTTGGGGATTATTGATCAAGGATATTTCAACCTTCTTTGGGGGTAGATGATCAAGGATATTTCATCTTGTGGATAGCCAATTTGTAAGAAGTATCTCAATGTTATGTTGAGGGCTATTTCATTCTTTAGTAGGCTGTTTTATTCTTATCAACATGAAGTACAAATAATGTGTATTCGAGTGTGATTCCATGTATTAGAGCATATGTATAGAAATAAGAATCAGGCCGAATGCATTTTTCTTAAACATTGCCTTGTTTGGGAGAAATATGAAGAAGACTAGAGTTTTTTTGGTCTGCCTTTTCTCTAATGCTCTCTTTCTCTTTGCTTCTATTCTTTCCTTTCTTCTTGAGCGTCAAGGACATTCTATAACACAACGCTTACAATTGCAAGACCTAAGGTTTGTCGATACCAAGCCTTATCAGCAGAGATAATTGGCTTGACTCCTTGCCCGCGGCTCAACCTTCTTGATCTTGCACTTGCTTGTGCAAGTAATGTCCAAGTTTGGAAAACTACACATTTCACATTGAAGAATTAGTTTGGACACTATTGGCTCTCAATTTTGACTCCTTGAGTTTTATTGTTTGAAATTTGTACTTTATATATTATAATTAGCATTATAGTAGAGGTGATCAATAATGTCCCGGTTCGAAAAAAAGTACAAGCTTGGGTAAGGCTGAAAACGCATTTTCTAGTTCAAAACCTGAGCTCGGCCAAAAAAAGGCCTGTTTTGGTCCGATGAACCCAACACTATTTTGCGGGTTTGGCCAAGATAAACCCAACCCAAGATTTTATGCACAAGCTTGATCCGACCTGATTTTTTATCACCTCTACATTATGGGTAGTAAAAACTTCATTTTGTGAGTTTTGCTTGTTATTTAAGGGTATGCATTTAACTCAAGTATTTTTTTTATTCTATATTATACTTCCTCCGTTTTTTAATAGTTGCAATATACACTTTTTCACGGTAGTTAAGAAAAGTGGGGTTCACATGATTTAATATACTACCTCCGTATCATATTATTTGCAACTTTGAAATATTTTATATCTCACAAATAAGGTCCTGTTCACTTCGCCTTTAAAAAATAATATTAAGTAAAAATAATTTCAGTTCAGTAAAAAATAATTTCAATTCAGTAAAAATAATTTTTGTTCAGTAAAATTCAGTAACTTTAAAGAATAAATATAACAGGAAATCAATAAAAATAATTTCAGTTAAGCAAAAATAATTTCAGTTCAGTAAAAATAATTTAAGTTCAATAAAAATAATTTCAGTTCAGCAAAAATAATTTCAATTCAGTAAAAATTATTTCAGTTCAGCAAAAATAAGGTGAAGTGAACAGGGCCTAATACCCCAAAGTAGCAAATAATATGAAACGGATGTAGTACTTTAAAATGGGGTGAGAGGTTGATAGGAGTATAATTTAGTGGGCCATGTGCTTTAATTAAGGGAAATAGTACAACTTTCCCCAAAATAACTTTTCAATTATAGTGTATTGTAAGTATTGCGACATTTCCATTTTAGGAAAGTGTTGCAAGCAATAATTGTTTCGTACACCCGGGTGTACCATGCGCATGGTACACCCGGAAGAACATCACCCTATGAATAAAAGAACATTATCTATAAATAGAAGAACATTACATATAAATAAAAGAACATTGCCTATAAATAAAAGAACATTACATATAAATAAAAAAACATTACTTATAAATAAAAAAAATTGTAGTTATAATAATTTATTATACATTACAAACGAACATAGAGTATATCAAAAAGAAAATTACATATAAAATACAGAACATTACATACAATAAAAGAACATAACTTAAAAATAAAATAACATTACATATAAATATAAAATAACATTATCTTTATGAAAAAGAACGTTACATATAAATAATGGAAAAATGCTACTACCCAAACCCATGGAAGAAGATGATGAACAACAATGTTAGTGCCAAAAATTCAAACAATCAAGTAATTTCATGATAATAAAGCTTTATACGAACAACAAACATTATCACAAAACACAAAATATATGTAAAAATAACAAGCAAAGAGAAAGTTCACTATTGAAGCACAATCTAGGGTTTCATAATCATAAGTAGAAAAAAGATGAACAAAGAAAGAGAAGTCATACCTCAAATGAGTAGAAAACCCTTGTAAAGTGAATTAATAGTAGAAATCAAACAAGTTGAACACTCAATTGCAAGTTTTTTAGCCAAAATAAAAAAAATACCCAAAATTCTCAAATCATGAAAAATCCGAAAATTTGGTTGTGAAATTTGGATTTTGGAGTGTAAAATCTAGTATAAATGTGTTTGTGAGTGATGAATTAAGCACATAAAAACTATAAAAATCAAGAAATAAAAAGGAAGAAGAAGTTAGAGGGAGAGGAGAGAAAGTATTGAAGAGAGAGAAAATGAATGAGTGAAATAAACATTACATCACATATAAAAAAAAGAACATTACTTATAAATGAGGCTTCATAAAAACAGAGCATTACATATAAATAAAAGAACATTAAATTTGTCCCAATGTTCTTTTATTTATATGTAATGTACTTTCGAGTGTACCATGCACATGATACACCCTCCTCTACCATACTATTTTCATGTTGCAAGTATTAAGAAACGGAGGAATTATGTTTTAAAGTGGCTTAAAAGTTATATTATTTGATTAAACTATCAACGTCTTTGCTAATTTGTGTCAGCTATATATGATATATGATTTCTCTATTCTCAATTGAATTTACTTTCTATATGTTTTCTCCGTTCTTTCTTTCTTCCACCAATTTGCAATTTACTTGGAAGCAATTTGCGATATGATTGCTACGATTTATGATTGCAATTCACGATTTGCGATTTGCAAAATTGCTGCAGGTGGCTGTGAGAATTTATGTGGCGAGGGGCGTTTGCTAGTGGTGCTTCTGGTTTGCGTGGTTGGGCTGGGCTCCGGCGTGGCTGTGGCATGAAGAAGAGAGAGTGGTGGTGCGTGGTTGTGTTGGTGGTGGGTGCGTTGCGTTCGGTGGATGATGGATCAGTGGGGTGGGGTGACGTGAGGATTGGTGAGTGGGGTTTTGGTGAACCTGCCGTTGAAGGGGAGGAGAGAGAAAGTGGTGAAGGAGATGATGAAATTAGTGAGATGGTGAACGAGCCATTGAAGGGGGAGGAGAGAGAAAATCATTTGTTTGGTGGGGTTTTGTGTGTTTGGAGAACGTGAAATTGGTGATTTTTGTTTATGTTTTTTTGTTGTTAATAAGCATATTAGCCAAGAGGAGAGAGAAAGAAATAATTTGTACCTGTATATACCTTTTATCTAAGCCAATAAAAGTATATATTAGCCAATTAATGTCTGATATCAGTTAAGATTAGGGACATATCAGACATTAATAAAACGTATCAGCCAACAAAAATATATATATCAGCCAACAAGAGGAATACATCAGCCAACAAGAAGAATATATCAGCTAACAAAATATCATCCAACCGAAGAAACATATCAGCCAAAAAATGAAGCATATCAGCCAACAAATGAAGCATATCTGCAAACAAAAGCAACAGGTAAGCCAACAAAATAAACATATCAGCCAACAAAATAAAACATATAAGCCAACAATTAAAATATACATATCAGCCAACAAAATAAATATATCAGCCAACTAGAGAAACATATAAGTCAAATGATGTCTGATACCAGCCAACAAAAGGAAAAAAAATATATTAGTCAACTAAAAGAATATATTAGCCAAGACAAAAATTATATCAGCCAACAAATGAAACATATCGGCCAACACATGAAACATATCAACCAACAAGTAAAACATATCAGCTAAACCAGTACGAAAATTTGTGTGCATCCGCCCGCAATAGCTTCTCCTTTCTTAATCGCAATGCATTTCTATTTTACTTTATTTGGTTAGTGATGTTCTCTACCTCTCTTCTTGGGACATGGGTCATTCTTTTTATCTCCCCTCTCCTAAAATACAACATCTACTCCAGTACTCCACATTGCAATCATAAATTAACAAGAGGATTAGAGGGAGTGACTTGTAATACTAGATTACTAGTATATAGATATGTTTTTTTGTACAAGATTCATAATTTGCTCATATAACTTGTCTTTTTTTTTTTTTTTTTTTTTTTTTTTTTTGTAAAAAAAAATAAAAAATAAAAATACTACGAGTCATATAAAAATATGTTTACTAAATTTGTTTCAATCAGTAATTAATTTCATAAGATTATCATCACATAGATCTTCCAATACTACATTTCTAAAATTTATAATTCAAATAAAACTTAGCCATAAAAGTTACACGTGACCTAATATTTCATAATGGAGAATATTGAACAAAGAACAAATACTTTTAACACATTAATAAATCACGATCCACTACTGCCAAAAAAAACAAACAAAAAACACGATCAGTCATTTAGACTAGTAAATGGGCATCTTACCCAAACAACCACATAATAAATACCCAAATCTCTTTATATTGAATCTCCAATTCATGGTGTAAGGTATAGTCGGCAAAGGTCTTGTCGTGTTGTGTTTAGTGTTTTTATTTTGTGTTGTTCACAAAATCTATCAAAAATTATGTAAGAAATAAAACGTAGGATAATTGTATAATTTGACCAATTTATTAAAACGAGCCGTGTTTAAATTACATGGTTTCGTGTCATGTTGTGTCGATTTTGTGTTTTTTCTTAGTAAATTCATGTTCATGTGGTGCCAGTTTTGATCGTGTTTTCATGTTATGTTAGAGATTGCCAACTCTAGTGTAAAGTTTAAACACTACCATCAAAATTTACAATATCATGCATTATTGTTTTCAAATGTTGTTTATTAGATGTGTTATACATAGAATAACTTTTTTAGTTGATCATTGGAAGCACTATTTTATTTATTTATTTTTGTAACTTATTTTGCTTCTTGTTTAACCAATGCATACCATGGTTTGATAAACCGACTATATCATAATGAGTTCCCCAAAAGAAATTCCTTTAACAAAAAAGAAGACATCATAAAATAAAACAATAGATAGATGTCTAAATTATAAGTATCTAAGATAATGGGAAGTTATCTTAAGTTAGAAAAATATATGATAATGAAGCCTAAGTACCTTTATGGCATCATATATTTATAAAGATTGTTGGGATGTAACAGGTTTTGAGATAATGGGAGGCAATCTTTTAATTATAAAAGTAATCGATAAAGACTAATTATGATTAGGGTACATTTTTATCTATGCAAATATATAAATTATAGAGAGACCTACATATTGTTTTCTTTTAGGGTACAAATCTAAC